GGTGCAGCTGAATAAGACCCTGAGATCAATCAACAACAGTACTTACTACCCAACAGGCCAGAAGGGATGAATGGCTTCTTCTCTTGTGCCACCTTCCTTGAATTCCTGTGACAAACAGGTCTGCCACCTTGATTAACACAAGAGGTCAAGTGAAAGAGCCCCTCGTCCTCTGAAGGTCCATTAGCCCATTGGGGGGTCACTATGCTGGCATTCCCTCCTGTCCTGATGGGTACGCTGCATGACCACTAACCCTAACCCTAACCCTAACCCTAACCCACTCCACCATGTTAAACTCTCCCCTCTGATCAGGGGCGCAGCATTAGTTCCAGAGCCAGCTGCAACTGTTATTATAGCAGTATTCCTGGTGGTCCCTCTTGGACTCCAATGGGCCATGTGCAGGCCCAAGAACATGGTCAGCATATGCTGCATACAGTATATATGCATATCTGTACAGTACTGTATATTCTACATGCACATATATTATACAGCATATAACAGCATTATACAGTATATGATATATGCAAGTATATTTTATATTACATATATTTAATATTTGTGAATAGTATATGTTCTCTATGTAGTATACAGTATATTGCCTACAGAAAATTAATGTAATCAGTTCCACATATCTGTGTAGTGTGTTTGTATAGTTACTACAAAAATGTATACATTGCCTCTTAAATGTAATTTGCAACATATGCATCTCCATTTAAACAAGCAATCCCGGTAACTTCAGAAGATTACTGTTTAAAAGTAACTTTCCTCATGATGTCAAACACAAGCCTAAATCTGTCTCTTCCAAAATAATTATATGAGCACATGTGGCATAAAAACTTTGTGCGAAATATGTCTTAAAGGAGGGAAAAAATATTATTTTTAATGGTTCTCTGAATACAAACTACATACAAATGAGATTAATCTTTTCGCTGAGAGATTTGCATGTAAGTAAAAAAAAACAAGAAAAAACTATTTGTAGGAACCGCACATTAAAATTCTGCAATTAATGAAGTCTTTGCAATTTGTGTGATTCAGATGACTATATCTGCATCATGACAGCATGAGCACTACAGCCCCAAACCTGCTGTAAAAGAGATTAAATACTGGATGTCGTAAAAGACCTTAAGTATGAGAAGATAAGTATGAATGGTGATAATTACACAATTATTCTGTGCAAAATATGAGTTTCATAGTGTTTTCACGTGTAACAATCCTTCAAAAATGCTGAAAATGGAAAACGTAGGATAGTGAGGGTAGAATTTACTCATAAGATAGTCGAGTCAGGCACTGCGGGCTGGTCAACATCTCAGCAGGTGGGGACATTTCTTCCTAGAAACCTGATAAACATCTTAAATATCTCGTAACAGTACTTAATATACTATAATATATGGTAATACTACCACTACTAATACCGTGTTATTTATGATCATGGTGTTTTACTTCAGTGTTCTACAAATAGAAAAACAAAATTTAAAGGCAGAACAGAAAAGAAAAATTCAAGTTCGGAAAATCTACTGGACCCCCCAGTACCTGCCCAAGCGCCGGGACGGGCAGAACGCAGCCAGCCCGGGACGAAATAGAAACCCAGGGCACTCTCCCGGCATCAGAGCCGGTAAGAGACGGGCTGGGCGTGACGCGCGGTCTGCAGAAACTCGCGCACAAGCTGCTCAGTTCCAGAAGCTGCTCTTCCGCAGAGTGGCCGCCGGGAGGCTCTCCGCGCCCTGGCGCAATCACTCCTGAGGACGGAAATGACCTTGCGCCAATATTGCTTAAAGCGGGCCATTAACAATGAATCTACACTGACAACGCTTTAATATTCAATGTGTGCGCCATCTAAACCCACTTAGTAAGCGCGGCAATAAATACCAGGCATAAGGACCAATTAGTATTGCACTTATTCTCCATTAGTTTATCAGAAGGTTTAAACCAATTATAAGCGGTCATTTGCCAACCAGGAACTGAAGCGCTTCCGAACAGCAGACTGTGCGTGAAATCGAAGGGTTGAGCTGCGCCCAAACTCCCCCCTGCCCCCCGTGCAGACTCTGTGTGACACGTGCTGCCCCACGCAGCAAGACCCGCTCTTCTGCCTGCAGAGCCCGTGCCAGGCACGTGGCCCGCGCGGCGCCGTGCCCATCCGCCGGCTCCGTGAGAGGGGGATCTGTGGAGGCTGAGGCCGTGGTCACTAATCTCGCTCGTTTATACCCACTCCCGCAAGAGCCAAAAATACAAATAATCCGCTTCGTTTTCCCCCCCAGGTCCCGGGGCTTGCCTTAATTCCCTTGTGTTCAGTTAAGAAATGAAAACACAGTTGTGTTTGTTTTTTCTCAATTGCATATTCATGCACAAACACAGGGACGGTGTAGATATGCGAACGTTTTTATCAACGAGCCCAGTGGGAAGGGAAAAAATAATTCTCCATCATTGAGCTGCAAACACAGTAAATGAGCACAGCGGTGAGATTTCTTAGTCAATGCTGCCACCTGCTGCTTACGTGTGGCTTTCGCAATGGGAAAGGGTCATGAGGATTGTTGCTCTAATGGCATGCTAAAGGGATCCATTTCTCGGAATTATTGTGTATTAGCAGTTTTCCTAATAAGTAACAATAAGTAGTAAGCAATGAGTTCTTAAGAAAAGAAAGTGCAGTAAGTTGTCTTGTATAGATCAGAGGTTTAAAATGAAAACCTTGGAGAAAGTTACTTAATAGACATGCTTGGCGCTTGCCTTGGCTGAACACTGCCTGGCCCAGGAGGACTCTGGGATTGGTGGCTCAGTGAGGGTGCGCAAGCATCTGCTGTTGGAACATATAAAAACAGAAACGCCATCTGTAATTGGACAAGGCCTGGACTTCTGAGAAGATTGTTGGCTGTTAGTAGGACCACATGTCCTAGATGAACCAATAAGAAACCAAGACTCCTGTGCTCTCGTGTCTTTTGAACTCAAGAGCATACGAACAAGCTGTCCAGCCATGTTTTTGAAGCCAGTACTTGTTTTTCTTTCAAACAATGGCTGAAAGCGATCCTCCAGTCAGGATATGAGGCAAGCATTTACGCGAGGAGTGGTGGGAGGGTGGAACAAGCTGCACAGTCATGTTTTTGAAGTTTCAAGAAACAGGTGAACGAGACCCTGGGATCAGTTACATACTAATTAGCAAACAGGCCAGATGGGCAGAGAGGCTCCCGCCGCTTGTGATGCTCTAAGGTCTTATTTATTCTGCTCTCTGTGGGAGGAGGAGGTGATGGACAGTATGGAGACCTGACCTGAGGTCAGTGACCCAGAAGCTTGTGTAAAATCTGTCCAAAGCAGTATTTCATGCAACTTGCGAGTGTTCATACTGTGCCCTGCAATTTTCACCTTGCTTTTATACAGTATCTAACTAAGCCCTGCTGGTGAACATGTGAGGGATACGTTACAATACAAAGAGTGTGGCTGTTGTGGTTACTACTACTGTTACACATTCAGAGTGTTCGAATTTATGACTTATGCAATCGAAAGCTAAGCGTATTATAGAGCAACAGTGAAGCGTGTGGTTAGTTCTCCCCCTAGTGGTAATAAGCAGCAATAGTTGCAGCAAAATTTAATTCACCACCCCAGAGCAGCGCAGTTTGTAATCCTTTTGAAAGCCACACTGCCCTGACCTCGGATTCCAGCATCAGGAAAAGGAAGGAGCTCTTCTGTTCCCAAGGCTTTGAAAAAAACAGTGACTGAAGGAGAGGAGGTGAAGAAATGACACTGTCAGTGATCAGAAGTGCTACAGAGACTGACATACAAGCCAAGATTGCCATATGTCCACACTGTCATGCTTAACGTTATCATCGCCACCCGCTTCTACACTGATCTGGTCAGATCCCAGGAGCTCAGCAGGCCTGGGTCTGAGTGAGAGATATCCAGGCAAAAACTCCACTGCTTCAAGTAGTGTTGATAGACAAGGAGGTGGCACTCTTTCCTCTGGACCAGAGTTAACAAATCAAGGATTCAATGTGGTGACTGAGGACACTGTACAGCAGGAGGTATCATTTTTCAGATGAGACATTGATTAAAGGGCAGTTTGTAAGAGGTGTTAAACCTCAAT